CCGTTTTATACTAAGACGCCCTTCTTGGTAGGTACCACAACTGGCCTTTCGTATTACCGTTGGAAAAATCAATATTAATCATATTTTATCAGTGAAGGAAAAATACAAATAAATGGTGTTACTTTTATAAGTTTCGTTTACACTACGTACTCTTTATACAGGGTGAGTTTTTTAAAGTGTTACAATGCGATATGTCAAAAACAGCTACAATTTTTTTTTTGACATTTTGGTGACGTAATAAGTACACGGGGGGACACATTTTATTTACGATATTTTTGACATTTGTCTCTTCACTCTCTTGAGAGGGGTGGGGTGTCATTTTCTTATTTTAAATGGAAAGATGTGTTTTTTATTCTGAAATACGATTCTACATACAAAATGTACCTACTCTGTTCACAAATTATTTTTCAAATTGTTCAACTAAATATGGAATTATGACTAAAAAGGTAATTACAATAAAAAAAATTCTTATCGCCTAATTTTCAATTATCTATCGTCTATTATGCCTAAGAAGTTGTTCAAAATGACCGCCTTCGACTTCCAAACATTTCCTTATTCTTTCCCGGAATGAATTTCGTACTCGTTGTAACATTGCTGGAGTCACCAATAAACATGCCGAACGAATTCTGTTTTTCATGTTCTCTGGAGTCGTAGGAGCAGTAGCCATCACTTTATCCTAAATAAATCCCCATAAAAAAAAATCAAGCGGGGTCAAATCTGGCGAACGAGCAGGCCAGTTGACAGGACCACCCCGACCAATCCACCTATTTCCAAATAATCTATTCAAACGATTACGGGCCTGTATGGCATAGTGGGGTGGAGCTCCGTCGTGCTGAAACCATACGTCTGGATTTATATTCTGGTTCAGTGATCTAGGTAACTAATTTCTTAAAAAAACTTCGTACACCTGTCCATCTAAATGATCTTGAAAAAAATGCGGGCCAATAACTCATCTTCGAAAATACCACACCATGCGTTGATAGACCAGGGATGTTGATTTGGTACAGTTCTCATCCAGTGAGGATTATTCGCCGCCCAGTAATGCATATTGGGCAGTGTGAATAAAAACTAAGCTTTCACTTTTAGTATTAAGTGATAGCTTTAGCTTTTACTAGGTAGATTTAGCTTTTGCTAATAGCATTTGCTGAAATTAAAGTGAATAACCTTTTCCTTTTACTTACTAGCAAAAGCTAGATATTTGAAGCGTTTGCTAAAAATACGGAGCTTTCGTGAAGTATCTATAGCATTTTCAAAAAGTGTATTTGCAAGTTTTTATACTGATAACGCCGATATTTATATTTTTATAAACCGGAATGGTATGAGTATTGTTCCAACACGTCAAAAACCGTCCCATGAACGGTCTACAAACCACGCTGTATACGAATTTCTCATTCTACGCACACATTTCTGGCTTTGCGCAGAGTCATATGACGGTACATTGTACATTTAACATTGTACGGTTTCTTGATGTGTTGGAACACATCAATGGTTAGAGTAAAGCTATGACCGGCGGCGTGAAAACATTGAAAGAAGTCAATAATTGGGTACGTTCACCAGTACTCAGCAGCTAACTTGCAGCGTAAAGCAGTTGAGGATAGTTGAGATACAGTGGATGTGAATTTCCTGAATGCCCGACACTTCTGCGTATGTCTAAAGCATAAGTTGAGTTGGTAAGCGTAAATTTCTACCGCTTAGAGAAATCGGCAGCAGCTTTTTGTCAGCTGCTGCCGGTTTCTCTAAGCAGTAAAAATTTACGCTTAGCAACTCATATTATTGAATGAATTGTTATTTGTCATAACTCTCAACTATGCGTTCTAGAAATTTACATCCGCTGTATCTCAACTGTCCTCGACTCCTTTACACTGCAAGTTAGCTGCTGAGTACTGGTGAACGAACCCATTGTTTCCCCAACTTCAACTACTCAACTGGCAACATTTGAGTGCTGGTGAACGTACCTATTTTAAACAAGTAGCGGTATCGAACGCTAGCGCTTCAAGATGAAAATGAATAGTGATTCAGGCAATTCTATAAGTGATTTGTTGCAGGAGGAGGTTCCAGAAAAATTTTCAGTCAACCTCAAATTGACGGACTTTGGTATTCTTCGGCACGACTTTCTTTTCTTTCGGGATAAAATTTCGCAGACCTTATATCCATAAACGCAGCCATTTCTGCCAAACTTTTGAACATCACTAGAATGTTTTACAGTGGCTAAATGAACCTTTACATACAGTGGCGACAATAGAGGTCCTGCCGCCATTTTGTGCCCAACCTCTTGTTACTTTTAAATATGAATATATAGGATTTAAATGGACATCTATCATTAAAAATTGGAAACGACATCTCTAATTACTAGTATTGAGTACATAGACCAAATACGTTTTTTCCAATTTCCTATTATGGATGTCCATTTAAATCCTATATATTCATATTTAAAAGTAACAAGAGGTTGGGCACAAAATGGCAGCGTTTTTCTTATGAATATATAAGATTTTAAAGAACCGATCAAAAAGAAGACAGCAATTGGGCAGTGTGAATAAAAACTAAGCTTTCACTTCTAGTATTAAGTGATAGCTTTAGCTTTTACTAGGTAGATTTAGCTTTTACTAATAGCTTTTGCTGAAATTGAAGTGAATAACCTTTTCCTTTTACTTACTAGCAAAAGCTAGATATATGAAGCGTTTACTGAAGCATCTACAGCATTCTCAAAAAGTGTGTTTGCGAGATTTTATACTGATAACGCCGATATTTATATTCCTATAAACCGGAATGGTATAAGGTTTGTTCCAACACGTCAAAAACCGCCCCATGAACGGTCTAGAAATCATTCTGTATACGAATTTCGGGGTTCTACGCACAAATTTTTGGCTTTGCGCAGAATCATGACAGTACATTGTACGGTTTCTTGATGTGTTGAAACAAAGCTATGACCGGCGGCGTGAAAACATTGAAAAAAGTCAATGGGTCTATCCGGGTTCGAAAAACGGACGGTTCTACAACGGTTCAAAACAATCGCACAGTTTTATTGAAATTTCTGATAGCTGAGCCGTTGTCATTGTCAAAAACTGTGCGATTGTTTTGAACCGTTCTAGAACCGACTTTTTTTCAAACTCGAATAAAGCTGGAAATTAGGTACGTTCACCAGTACTCAGCAGCTAACTTACAGCGTAAAGCAGTTTAGGATAGTTAAGATATAGCGGATGTAAATTTCCTGAACGCCCGACAATTCTGCGCATGTCTAAATTAACGCTGAGTTGGTAAGCGTTAATTTTTACCGCTTAGAGAAATCGGCAGCAGCTGACAAAAAGCGGGTTTTGCTGAATTAGGTACGATCACCAGCACTCAACTGTTGCCAACAGTTTAAGTGGTTGGGAATTGGGAAATACTATCGCGTTCAGCGGCGCTCGGTAAAAACCGCTTTTTGTCAGCTGCTATCGATTTCTCTAACGTGTTTCCCCAACTACTCAACTATTGGCAACAGTTGAGTGCTGGTGAACGTATCACTTTTAAACTAGTAGCGTTATCGAACGCCAGCGCTTTAAGGTGAAAAAGAATAGTGATTCAGACAATTCTATAAGTCATTTGTTGGAGGAGGAGGTTCCTGAAAAATCTTGAACCAACCTCAAATTGACAGACTGTGGTATTCTTCGGCACGACTTTTTTTTCTTTCAGGATAAAATTTCGCAGACTTTATATTTATAAACGCCGCCATTTCTGCCAAACTGCCAATCACCACTGAAATGTTTAAGCCAAGGTTTACCAGGCTTGAAAAAATGTAAGCTTCTCCTTCATATAATTAAGAATTGCTTATTTTTATTCACACCATTTAAAGACAATGCTAAAAACTATAGCTTTTACTAATTGAATTTTTAGTTAAAGCTAATACTCATTTTTATTCACTGCAAAGTAAGTATTTACTTAGGAAATGCAAGATAAAGCTTTTACTGAATTTTTATTCACACTACCCATTGTGTCTGTTCACCTTCAGAAAGACAAACAACAAAAACTGAATATGAACTAGTAAAAAATAATTTGAATCTTACCTGGCCACAATTATTGAAAGAAGCTTCATCAGAAAAATAATGGAGTGTAATATGGTAAGGATGATACTTGTGCCTGTGCAGAATTGCTATAATTGATGATTGACTTATTCCAGCATCTAAAGCAAGCCGCCTGGTACTTGTTTGAGGATCAATAGCTACCGCTCCTAAAACACCAACTGCCATATTTTCATTTGTTTGAGTTCTAGTCCTAACTCTTGATTTGGCTTTTAGACTACCAGTCATACGACTTCTGGTTTCCAATCTTTTGAAGGCCATATGAGATTTTGGAATATTCGGAAACCTCTCTCTCCACAGACTTGCAGCCTCCCTATAATTTTTTCTGCACTCTCCCAAAATTAATAACATATCAACTTATACATTAAAATTCGCTTCCATGTTTTTACTTTTTGAACACAATTCAATTATCAATGACACGTAATAGTACATTAAGGGTATTTTATGTATTTTGTATGTAGAATCGTATTTCAGAATAAAAAACACATATTTCCATTTAAAATAAGAAAATGACCACTCCTCTCAAGAGAGTGAAGGGGCAAATGTCAAAAATATCGTAAAATGTGTCCCCCCGTGTCCTTATTACGTCACCAAAATTTAAAAAAAAAAATTGCAGCTGTTTTTGATATATCGCATTGTAACACTTTAAAAAACTCACCCTGTATTACTCACTTTTTGAAACTGCCTCTGTGATTGGAAATATGGCTATTGGAGAAGATTCTTTCATAAAATCCATTTTACCTTCAAATTCACTTGTGTCATTTTTCGTTTGTATTTCCATTCCTTTTCTGATTTAAATTCCAAAAGATGCTTCAAATGAAGAAGTTTCTGGCTTTTGTTTGCGATAGATAATGCATCATCTATGCTTAAATTTGACACAATCTGTTTGGATATGAACATTTTTATTTAATTTTTCCGAAATGTGACTATCTTTCCTGATTTTAGGTCGGCAGGTGATACGCTAGGAACAGGAGCAGCAGGGGCGGGTGGCGATGGCGACGGCATCGTCGGCGGTCCCAGGACGCCTCAGCAAGTCGCCGCTCAGAAACGGCTCCAGCAGACGCAGGCGCAGGTCGACGAAGTGGTCGACATCATGAAAACGAACGTGGAAAAAGTGCTCGAGAGAGATCAGAAGCTTTCTGAGTTAGACGATAGGGCCGGTAAGCAACACACATTATAATACGTATAGTTGACTGCGATTAATGGGTTCTCATTGAAATAATATCAAGCAATGCTCTATTATTTCCCTTTGGAGCAATCGTGGTGCCAAAGGCAATGGAACGCACAAGACAAATAAGATGAGAAGATGGTATTAGGGCTTAAGTCCCTCAAAGGAAGGCAAAACTTGTCTTTTCAATTACTACTATACTGAACGGTTTTTTAAGCTTTTTTGATTTAGAGGAGAAAACCAGTTCCTTGCTTTCTAAAATTTTCACGAAAAGCAGAAAATGATCAATTATTTCGAAATACTATATGTATGGATTACATCTGCATCTAAAAGTACCTATAATTATAATCCACCTTTTTAAGATGTGCCTGATATAAAAAAATTGTGCTTCAATGTTTAGGTAGTTACTGTTCTGCTTCTGATTTCGAAAAATTCTCTTTTATTCTCAAATTTTACACAATCTTCATGGCTAACATCATCTGAGTTTATCTTTCTAAAATGTAAAAGAATTCCTCTACAAACTATATGGTACAGTTGTCGAGGAATCAGATGAGATTTTTAATTCCATTATGTCCTTTTTTTGCATCCTAGAAACTCGAAAGTTAGTTAAAAACCAAAAAAAAAACAGAGCTCGAAGCGTTGCAAACCAATTTTCTCCTGAATTCCGAAAGGGCACTCGGGTAACCTTTGACATTATGACAAAATTGTTTTGAATTTTTGAAGGCACTCTGCAGTAAGTGTAACACCTTTTAGTCTTTTGAATAAAACATTTTTCTTAGAAGAGAATTTTTCATCAATAAAAAAAGCATTTAGTTAGAAAGGTAACTGATGAAAAATCGATGCGGTCACTTTTATATACCGCACAGATTTAAAATCTTTGTAAACTTTTCATCAGAAATAACTTGCCTGAGTATATACACTAGGTACTGATCAAAACGAAAAAAGAGCCACTTCAGTAATTTAATATATAATTTCATTAAAGGTGAGTTTACACATGCATGGATTTAGTGGCGCCAGTGGTCGCGCCAGTTCTATTTGCACGCCAGTAAAGGTTTACACTTTGTGTGAAAAACAGAAACAAGTGGCATGCCAGTTTCACTTTTAAAGTGCTTTTCTCAGTGTGCACTATGTCAAGTGAACTTTCCGAAGCCTGTAAAATGGTCGCTAAACTTTTAGTAAAAAAAAAAAGATAAAAGAAATACAGAAAAAGATACGCAACCAACGAAATGGCCGTTTCTGGTTGAACTATGAATTGGTCGTCGACCCACTTTGGCTGCTTCTGCAAAACTTCTAGGAGAACTCGCAGCAACGGAAATGAAAATCAAAAAATGAAAAACTGGCGAGCGAACGCTGGCGTGCAAGCACTTGTTTAGACTCGCAAGTTTTGATTTTCTGTACGAATTTGTCACCACTGGCGCCAGTGATTTCAGAAGGATGCAGACTTTTTTGGACTATGCATGCAAATATAAAATGTGTATGCAAGTCCATGTTTACACTTGCTAATACAATTTACTTGCGCGCCAGTTTTTATTGGCGCCACTAAATCCATGCATGTGTAAACTCACCTTAAGGTGCGTCCGCTCGCCAGTTTTTCGTTTGATTTTCATTTCGGTTGCTGCGAGTTCTCCTAGAAATTTTGCAAAAGCAGCCAAAGTGGGTCGACGACCGATCCATGGTTCAACCCAGAAACGGCCATTTCGTTGGTTGGGTTTCTTTTTCTGTATTTCTTTTATCTTTTTTTTTTTACTAAAAGTTTAGCGACTATTTTACAGGTTTCGGAAAGTTCACTCGACATAGTGCACACTGAGAAAAGCATTTTAAAAGTGAAACTGGCGTGCCACTTATTTCTGTTTTTCACACAAAGTGTAAACCTTTACTGGCGTGCAAATAGAACTGGCGCGACCATTGGCGCCACTAAATCCATGCATGTGTAAACTCACCTTTATTGCATTAAAAAGAAAAATGTCTGTTTTCCCAGCAGACACGCAGTTCCATGTGAAACCAGAAAGATTGTTTTTATCACGGTTTGTTTACTTATTCGATAAAAAATTACAAGTTTGTGAATTTGCTCTCACAAAATAGGTCAAGCATAATGAAGGAAGTTTACCTCAACATCATAATTAGAAGTTAACATTTTTTGGGGGAGATCGGTCCATTTTCATGTGCTTAATAACATATTAAGTTTGTGACCTTGTACTTCCATAGGGTTTTTAGTTAGGGGTGGATTTTAGGAGTAATTTGCGGTTTATGGAGAACGCTGCTCAATGGGTGATTATTGCTAATGAAATGCACTCTCCAATGATTTTTTTGATCGAATTTTTTGCTTGAAAATTAAGCGAGCACGGATTTGGCTAATGTGCGAGGAAGTTGTAAATTGCATCGAAAACTACCCCTTTCTTGCATTCACTGTAATTTCTAAACGGGGCCAAATATTTGGTGACAGTTTCCGACGATCGGCAGCCCATTTATTCCTCTCATAATGCCTCATCGGATTTTTTTTTTCGTTAATCACTCAATAACTTATTGGCCTGAACACGTAGCCCGGAATTTTTCAAAATGTCAAAAAAAAATTAAAATTGTCGCACACCGCTGAAATTTGGTACGATGGCTTTATTTATTGTTCTCATGAATATACTGCAATTCTAATTGTTGCAGCAGTCATGTGGTCTGCATAAATATGCGTTCTCCATAAACCGCAAATTACCCCTGAAAACCACCCCTAACTAAAAACCCTATGGAAGTACAAGGTCGCAAACTTAATATGTTATTTAGCATATTAAAATGGACCGATCCCCCCAAAAAAATGTTAACTTCTAATTATGTTGAGGTAAACCCTCTTTTCAGATCCCCGTTTTTTGGACTAAAAGCTTTATTTAATCCAACACAGAAGGAAACCGTACAATGTACCGTCACGATTCTGCGCAAAACCTAATATTTGCGTCTGGGATCTGAAATTCGTTTAGAGAGTGGTTTCCAAACCGTTCACGGGACGGTTTTTGACGTATTAGAACGCAGACCCATATTTAAATAAAAAGTAAAATAATATCATTAAAAACTACATATTATTCAGAAGTGGCTGCTTTTTCGTTTTGATCGGTGTATGTAGATATAGGATTATTAATTTATTGTACCGGTAATAGAAAAAAAATCACTTTTCAATCAAATCAAACCGAACATTTCAAGTTTTACAGTTTGCCTTTTAAGAGTCTCTATTCAATAAATCCTGGATATTTGAGGTCACTTTTAAATTATTAATATTGGAATATAGGAGGATGCTCAGAACACTTGGTAGTTTGTTGTTTGTGGTCTGTAGGTTGGGTTAGTACACCCGGGAAGGTTAGTACCTGGGGAGTAAGAACCACTGTTGAATTAATACAACTAATTATATACAAAAAATTCAACTTTAACAAACGTCATGAACAATGGTAATAAATAAAAAGAATAAATGGCTGACAAAATCTGTTTTGTGCTCCGCATCGAAAGATTTGATAATTAAACTTTTGATGGCGCTGCTTCTGACATAGATCGTAGTTTTGCCTATGTTTCCTGGTGACCCACTGGTGGTGCGTTGGTGTCGATGACCTAGAAGTACCTAAATACCTAGAAACTAATAATTATTTAATTTTTGTAATGATTTCGATATACATAATTTGGGGCTTTTTTATATGACTAAATTTTGAATTTATACATTCTGGGCATTCTATTGCCATGCCATCAGTGTTCAGTGCTGTCATGGAGCAATACTGGTTCGAGAACAATAGCTTCTGTGGGTGGCACCGTGGCTATGGGTAGCTCTAATTGTATTTAATAGAATGTCTGCCGCATCTCTGTTTCTTCTTGTATTGGAGCCGCAATCCTGTCGTTCTTTGTAGACCCTGAATAGCACTATAAGTGTGATAACAACAATTATAGTTACTAATGTAGCACTGAGGCTCGTGACTTCAAGTTGTTGTTTGATGTTCATTTCTTTATTCCTGAATTCATTGAGCTTGTTGGATGCATCAATTACAGGTTCGTCAATTAGCGTGATTTCCCCTTCATGCATAACTGGGAATAATGATATATTTTGTAGTATGGGTTTGGCGAATGCTTCACAGTCACAGTATCTGAGCTTTTAGCAGTTAGGATGTTCTTCTTAGTTTTAATGAGGCAATTTGAAGCTATTTCTATGAAAGCTGTTTGATTTAGTGCCACAAAGTCCCGGGTTCGATCGCAAATAATGGCGATTTTTGTTTTTTCAGGCATAATTGCTAACCATTTAACCATGAGTTTGGAGTGTGTAGCTGCTCCCATATTATTGATGCTATGGATTGCTGTAGGATTTTGCACAAAGTATTATTATATATTTGGTCTACTATGCAATTAGGACTCGTCTCTATGCTTCTTGTAGTGGTTGGTGAACATACGAAAACATTTTCCGCAATATTCAAACTGTTGCTCAACTCATCTTCAGATATTTGGAAGTATAGCTGTGAATCATAATCTATTGCTAATACTTCGTTTGGAATATCCAGGATCCAGTATGACTCTTTTTCTGTTAAAGGAATTGGAGTCGATCTGATTGGCATAAATTCATTGTGTTCTATCATCACAAAATATCCATAGACGTGGATAAATTCTTCACTGTGTTCCACTTTGGTCTGCACCACAGGATAAGATATTATCTCGATATTGGACGGAATCTTTTTTGATGCAGATGCTATTATCTCTTCAACGTGGGTCGAAGATATTAGATCATATAGGTTGTCTTTATTGTAGTGAATAGTGAACATCTAACAATCGTCTATAATAGTCCTGAAGTTCATCTATCTAATTGGATACAACTTGATATGAACTGAGAACGTGAATTATTAGTTTCTTTGCATCCACCGTTCGATACCATATTTTCATTTCATTGATCGAAGCCTTCATTGATTTTTTCCCGGAATCTCTGGAGTTGACTGTTGTTTCTGGATTCGGTGTCATTGAAAGTCGATAGAGTATGTAGCATGA